CCAAAGAGACAAAGAAAAGCCTGGAATGAGATCCCGGGACTGTGGCCTCTGTGGATCCATAGCCTCGGGAGCGTGCGGTACTGAAATGGGAACGAGCAGAAAAGACAGAAATATCACCATGAAACAACTGCAGAGGCTCAGCCACTCTGCTGAAACAGCTTCCAGAGTACGGCTCATGACTGGAGAACAGCTCCGCACCACCAGCGGCTTTACTGGGAGTGGGCCTGTGTTTCTGACACATTTTGTGTGGAGGCTCTGACACAATTTCACAAAAGGAAGAGAGAGATGAGATTAGCAGCCAAAAAAAATCTTTAAAAACAAAAGAGAGGAAAAAACCCATTATCTAGAGGGTTTTAGGGCTACCTTTGAGCAGAACCTAATGCCACAATCCCGCAACAAGCAGGTACGTGGGGGCTCCGCTTGTCCCTGCCCAGGAAATCAGTTTTAATTCAGGTCAAAGCCCACCATCTCCATCCCCGCTGCCAAGAGCCTTCCCCAGTATGAAGCGGTCCTGGACTACGTGGCAATCCAGCTGCTTCCCCCTACGCACGCTGCTCCTGAAGCCGCTCAGTGAATAGATGGCAAATGCTGCTCAGTGAAGATAAAACGCCAAATAATGAGTCCTGGAGGTAAAAATAAAGAGACGGAACATCTCCTACATGAAAGGGTGCTGCAGTCCACCCCAACCCAGGGATGGAGAGACTGAAGCGGTACTGTCGAAATACTCTGAAAACCTTCAGTTCCCCAAAGACCGCACGCAGGATGCTGCCTTTACTGATAGAGAGGCAAAATATTAATCAGGAGCGACGGGTTTAACGTTGCTGAGGAGGTGCTGGATGCTCCTGCAGCAGTACAAACGTCAGGTTTCAGAGTCCAGTGTGCCTTCGCAAAGGAAAAACCTGAATGAGCTCAGTTCAAACAAACACCCACAATACACAAAAGCAGATGGCGACAGGTTTATCCCCCTGAAAAAGGGAAGCCGAAGCCATAGCGCTCTATCCTCTACCAGAACTCAGCCATACGATACAATAAAGAAGGGAGATGTATGCCTTGGGTCTTCAGAACTATTACACCGTCCTTGAGGGAACTATAGGAGTGAGTCCCCAAGATGAGGTGTACAGCCCTAGAACACACTGGAATAGCTTAGCCGAACACGTGTTATTTTCAAACACCTCCCTTCTGCCACGGAACCGGGCTTTCAAAGCCATAAAACAAGCTCCAGAGGCAAAGCACAAGAGCAAAGTCATAACGAACAGGCCAGTAATTTCTGCTTTCTGCAAGATTCTGCTTGCTGCAAAATCTTGCTTTCAGTCCTAAGAGGCACTAATGCTTTATAGTGATGGAGCTGAAAATATAAAAGAATTAAGAAATGAAACTCCAGCCAAAGTCTCACATCAGCTGAGAATAAAAAACTCAGCCTGTCAAGATCTGATTTGCTCAGCTTAAATAAAAGGAACTTTATTAAACATTCAGAAACAGATGAACTTTTCTGTGCTCACTATTTATTATGTCACCTGCTTTGGAATGGAAGCCGTAAATGCTTTAATAAATACATGGAAAGGTTGTCTACCTTCACTGTAGCTTTTGTAAATGCTCATGTATCCTCTGCTAAAACGCTGTTTTGTAACTCCTCTTTCACCAAATCACAACAGGTACCCCTCTGCCATCTGCAGCAATGCACGAGGGGAAACAGCCCTCTTTTATCTCCAGTGCTACACGCACATCGGTATTACAAAAGCTGGATTCTAAACCTCTTCACACACATGCCAACGGATCCCCTATTTACAGGCGAGATTTGGTCAAAATAAGAAACAAACAGCAGTGCTGTTTCCACAGCAAAGAAAGTCAACAGGGGGAATAGTGACGCAGGAGGCAGTCTTGTGAATTTAATGAGAGCGAGAGACCCCAAACATTAAAGAAAAGAGCCTGCAGCCTCCCAAACGATAGTCAAGCTTATAAAGAACCTAAATGCGGGAAAGATCAGGGGCTGAGGCTTTCTGTTAACGCTTCATGGATTTCTCCTGTCCATAAAAGCTGGCAAGAAAGTAAAAACTGTGCTTGGGAGAAGAATATCTTCTACTTCAGAAATACCAGGGCAACAGGTTCTGACGGACGCTGCCATGCTGTTCCCCGCAGAGCAGGCAGCCTATAGACATAGGCAGTCTATACGCATACACTTTTTCATGCAGTGTAGCATGGTGAGGTCCCGTACCTGGTGCTCTACCAGGAGATGGCAATAGCCAGAGCAGGCAGCGAAGCTACCCTGGGCATTTCCCTTCTCATTCGTTCCACTGCAAAGAGTAGAATCTTCTCAGCATTCCTCTTGCTTTGCCTACCTGAGCGTGTCAACCTCCTCCTTGGTGATGACGGTGCTTTGCTCAGCTGTGCACTCTTGAGACTTCAGGACCTTCATCTCCACCTCCAGCTGCAGAAGAGAAAAGGCATTAGTTCCTCCAGTACTAATAAGGGGAACGCAGGAAGAGCAAAGGGAGGAGGAGGAAGTCGCAATGTTCTGCACAGATCAGACCTTTCTCAGGATATGGAGGTGAAGCACAACTCTTCGTGTGTTCAATGTCAAAACCTGGGCTTACCCCGCTTCCCTTTGCAATCCCTTTTGCGTTCCCCAACATTTTCTCCAAGGTAGGCGAGGCACAGAAATTTCATTGCTTCTAAGCAAAGCTTCTGCTTCTCTTCCAGCTCCTTCCCCAACCTGTCCCCCATGGATAATGGGATGCAGAGAATTATCTGTGTGGTATTAGGAGCTCGCTGGTACGTGAGATTCAGTATTGACAATTCAACCTCATTTCGCTTCAGTTCCTCCCCAGAAGAGATGAACCCCAGGATTATGCTGTCTTGTCCAGGACAACTCTGAGACACATACATTGAATCTAAAAGACTGGGGAATATTTCCAGCACTTTCCAATATACACTTGTAGCTCAAGCTGCTCAGGCAGGTCTGGTGGAACAAACAAACAATTATGACTACTTTCTGCCTCTGGCCTTGTTTGGGAAGGAACTCGCAAGAAAGTACCTCAAAACTCTACAGACATGAAAACTTCTTGCCCAGGCTCTACCATTCCCAGGCTCCCTGACTTATGGGAATCCATATCCCTAATTCAGCTACCAAGACAATGCACAGATTGATAAATGACATATGTTACCTGTTTCTAAACTCCTCAGAAAATGATTTATGACGGAGTGTAAGCAGAGACAAACTACCTACAGGATACTCAAACTTCTGTTCCAGCACTATCTCCCAGCTTAGACCTCCTTCACACTCATCCTTCAGATTTTGGATTTCCTTTTGTCATCCGTCTTTTAGCACCTGGCAACTAATTCCCCTAATAAATCTATTGACAGAAACTGTATTTTTCACTTGGGAGAAAAACAATAAGCAATCCAGTCCTAATTATAGATGCAAAACTCATGACCTCAGAGAGCTCGGCATCAGGGAAATAATCCATTAATACACCGTTCCCTTCAACAGCACCAATTAGACCTGCAGAACAAAACATCCCATCGCAACGGCAAACGCCACGCAAAGGCAGCAAGCTGGCAGAAACTGCCCGTTTTTACAAGGAAGAGGAGCACATCCACAGGGGCAGTCACATTGCTCAGCCAGAACTGAAATTCTGACCTATCGCCTCTTTGCCCTCCCGTGCTTAGCAGAAAAGAGAGCCAGAGCGTGGCGGCGCTGTTAGCAGGAAGGGCACAAAAGGGATGGTTGGGTTATTCTATCTCCGCTTTCTGACACCACAGGGACGGAGCAGAAGAGAGAGGGCAGAAAGAGGTTTTAGCCCAACTTCCCCCCGGCACCCCGAAGCCCTGCGTTCTCCCCCTGCCTGTCAAAAGGCATCCGGGAAGAAAAAGTAAGCAAAAGCCCACCTGCATCATCGGGCTGTACAAATGTTAGTGTATATTAGCTGCCTGATAAGATTATCACAGCCAGAAATGCTTCCCTCAATTTTCTGATTACTGAGCTTATCTCTCCCAGCTCAGCCCATCACAGATGGCTGGGGATAAAGCAAGCGCGCCAGATAATTCCAGGAATGTGAATAAAAGGTACCGGGACGAGGAGCAGGCTTCAATTCCAACCTACTTCTAGCAGGAAAACACTCATTATATCTCCCGTTTCCCACCTCTGCTGAAGCCTGGATGTGTTTGCTATTTAAGAGTTTTGTGCTGCTTTCTGGACTGCAGGCGGACGGCGTTTGAAGATGGAAGGGCCGGTAAATACGTTATTTATCATAGGCTAAGCGGGCTCAGCCTTGAGTCCAACTGCCACCTGCTCACCGACATGAGCAGATAAATCACGGCCACCTTCGGGGGAGAAGGGGGGACGGAGGGGGTGGGCGAGTATTCTGCTGTTGTGATCTGGGGTCTCTCGTGTTGGCTGCATAGAGAGGGAAAAAATGGAGCGCATAATGGGAAAAGGAGATGGGAGAGCGAATGCACACACGCTCGAGTGAATGCTGCCGTGCAAAGCATCAGTGCGGGGCTCGCCTGATATACAGCGGTGACAAATTAGCGCCAGGTACGCTCAGCAGCAGCGTGATGAGCTTGTGCTGGGTTTCTAGGAGTAAGGTCTTGAAGGAGAATGAGGAGGGAAGGGCACGGGGACTGTAAGGGCATTTAATGTCATTTCTGTGTTCTCCCAACTTTCAAGCACCAAAACTACCTGGACTGAAAATCCGATGCACCTGCGGTGAGAAGGGAGAGGAGGGCACGGCGATAATCTTCAGAGATGAAACGGGCTCAAGCAGTTCAATGTTGACGCGGACCCGCTTCCCGCAACTAGGATTAAAACTGCTGCAGAGTTTCGAGTTCAGGCCAAGGCACAACTTTGTGCCACAGCAAATGACTGTCATTAAAACCTCATTAATGGTTTATTAAAAAAAGGAAAGCAAATCAGTTAAGGTATTCAGTATTTAATTCAAAATATGCAGCTTGTTTCCTTTAATCGTTTAGGTTTCGGTGAGGGGAACATCCCTGCCTGCCAATCTCACAGAAGACATTAAAAATGTTATTTATGTCTTTTCCAGGGCAAAAAGAAAGTTAGTTGAGATAAGATGGAGTGGCTTATTGTCGGGATCCGATTCTGCTTTTCCGAAGGCAGCACAGTGCAGGCAAATGGGTTGTCAGGAAACAGGAATGAAGAAAACAGCAAAAAGAGCAAAAAATAAAGAATCCATTGATAAAAGCTTCCTCTTAGTTGCAATTTTGCCTGCTGGATAATCCAAGCAGAACAAGATCTCAGCAGGCTCTGGTCAGAGCTGGCACACCGGTACCAGCGTGACGCGGTGGTGGACGTTGCCGCTGCCGCTCCTCCAGCCCAACCCTCGCTGCACTTCTGCACGCGGTGCAGTCAAGACAGAAAGCAGAGGAAAGTGGAAGAAATGCAGCAGAACCGCATGAGGAAAATAAGCAAGAGGAAGGCAGTAATAGGAGCGCTACAAACCCATGTCCTAGATAATTTTCAGCACTTTGTGCGAGCCTAAGAGGTGGGGAGGTTACCGAGAGCATTCCCTTCCACGCAGTCCCTCGGGATACCTCCGGGGACCGGGTCAGAGACATGAAATGACTCACCACGGCGGCAGTTTGTCCCTTCCTCTCCACTTGTCCTCTCGGTACCAGTGGCAAAGAACGTCCTCAAGAAGGAACGAGGAGAGGAAGCGCCCATCTCCTCTTGCTGTTTTCTCTGCCTGAGTCCCACCACATCCCTTTGCCTCGACTAACTGCCAGTCCCAGTCTCTCCCTTGTTCACCACATGCCCCTTCCAGCAGGCCTTTTCTGCTTTTTGGACTAACTCAATATTGCTGTCTAAACTCTTCCAATTTTTATCAATAATTTTATATAACTGGCTGAGTTAAACTTTTATTACTTTGAATACATTAAACTAGCAGAAGCCATTACCCAGCGGAGAGGGGAAAAGGGCTGCTCAAATTACAGCTCGTTGCTGTATTCCCCCATTCACTACCACACGACCGAGGTCAGGCTTGGGTCCTTCAGCTCTCTTTTATGATGACCTGGCTCTTTTAACTAGCATCGAGAGCAGAGACAGACCATTGTCCCGAAATACGGCATCGCATCTCTTACCCTGAAAACTGCACAAGAGGGACCCAAGTACCGACAACTCCTGCAGGAGCTTCAGGGTTGCTACTGGCCAGGATCAGCCCCCAGGGACATCCCCACCGTACAGAACACGTTAGCAACCGGAAAAGAAACCAAGCTATTATTTTTAAGTTTTTTGAAAGTTTCCCAAGGTTTTTATGACACTAATAAAGGCAGAATAACGATTAATGTCAGAGCCCATGACTTGTGAATTAAACACATAAACAGGTACTTAACATTTTGAGCAGGTGATGTTCTCTTCTCAGAATACACTGGAGCCTCATGCTCTCAACCTAACATGATCCCGTTTATCCCGAACCTTTTCTACTCTCTTTCATTTCATAAGCATGAATTTATTGCTTTATTGCTCTCAACACAAAGCAATCAGGACACATCCAGTACACAGAATGTCCACTTCCACAAACACACAAATACCCCCAAAGATGAAATGCAGATACTTTTTTCCAAAATAACTAATCAAAACCCAGATAGAGAGGAAAGAAGAACGTGGATGGATTTTCATCTACTGTTTAATTAAATGAAATATCGTTCTTGTTTCAGCCTTACTTTTAAACCTGCCTGGACAAGATTTCAAGATGGTGGTTCTCCTCCAAGTGTTAATGACATACAAACACCCACAGCAGTGTAAGAAATGTGTTCCTTGCTGGCTCTCTCTTCTGTAGGAATTATTTAAAGATGTATGAGATGACAGGAGAAACATAAAATTATAAATGCATCTCCTGACAGCTACAAAAAACAAAGCTTTACTTTAGGGAGCTGATTTTCTTGGTTTATTTCTGGCATTTGTCATGCCTGACCCATACTTGTCCCCTCCAAAACAAGCCCTCTGAGCCTCCGCAACACCACGGACCTGCTGTTCCTCCCACCCGATTCCAGCGGGCTTCAACGCTCATGAAGACAAGTCCTTCCAAGCATCCCACTGGCCTACTGTCCGCACCCCATCTTCAACAGGAGACCTATCACGAGACTTAAGACTTGGTTAAGCTAAACCAAATCACTCCCCCCGTGAAAACCACATTTATGAACTTCGGAAAATTTTAACACACTGCCCGAAATAACGCCCCAATCTCTGTTCAGGTGTCTCCTTTTGGGTAGGAAAGGCCTCAAAATCCAAAGTATTTCAACTCACTGCTAAAGTTAGGATTTGCATGTTGAACAAAAGGGGCCGGTTTATTCGCCCACATCATGTACACATATTTCACAGAACACATGCTGGAGACACACAGTTATTATTTGAATAATGAGTGAATTTTAGTGAGGGGCTGATACAGCAATCTTACCCTGATGAAGTGT